CACGCATTTGCTCTTTCTGTGTGCTCTGGGAAATGGTCACTAGTCTGTCTTCTGTCTATCACGGTGAGGTTTCAGTGGTACTTTCTCTGTCATCTCTGACCTCATTTACATGTTTACCTACAATATCTTTTGTCTTTAAACTATTTTCTTCTCTGTCTCAGGTTGGACTAAAGGATCTCTCTCGCTGGATGCCTCTGTGGAGCATGATGGATACTTTAGTGCAGAGGAGCAGGTGACCTCTGACCCAGAAGAGGAGAAGGAAGATAAAATGGTGAGTGACCCAGTCTGTTTTTCAATGTCAGACTCAGAAGGAAAAGGGTTTCATGTTTTAAGCATTTCTTTATCTTTATTTCAGTGTGCAGATGAGCTGCAATCTGTGAGGATAGACGAAGAAATCCAGTGTTCTGAAGAGACCGAGGATCCTGAGAAATGAGAGTTGAGTGTGAATGTGTGCGTAATGCCATCAGTGTACAGCATATACAGTAGGTTTCATGCATAACTCTTGAAAAGAGGGAAATGAGACATATATATAAACCATTAACTTTGAAGTTTTGCATACTCTTAAAAATAAAGGTTCCTGGTAGAACCAAAGAGGTTTAGAATACACGAAGAAAGCTGTCCATTAGTATTCACTTTCATCTCAATGGCAAAATGCAGTTTTTTTTTTTTGTCGGAACATGCAGCTAATTTTAAATGGCTGTTAAGAAAAATGCTTTTTAGAACCAAACATTTACCAGCAGGGGTCATACTAACCATCCAAAAACAAAACGTTAGTGCCAAAAAGGATTTTACAGGACCTTTTTATCCTTTTAAATCTAGAAGAAACTATCTTATACCAACTGACAACCCTGTAATGTAATTTCAAGAGCTTTTTGACTCTCCAAAGAACTGTATAGAGTGGGAAATGACTGTTGTTTAGAGAGTTCTTTGCAAGAAGCTTTATTTTTAAGAGTGTGGTCTTAGAATATATTTAGTTAGTGGTCCTAAAATATATTTTTATTCCTAATTTATTTTTTTTCTGTGTTTTTTGTTCTGTCACTGTCATTCTGTTACACTGTGGAAGCTTCTGTCACGAAAACAAATTCCTCGTATGTGTAAACATACCTGGCAATAAAGCTCATTCTGATTCTGATTCATTCCGAATGCACCAAAATAATGCATTTCACAGAGACACTGACACCCGAACCAACTCTTTACTCACTGTCTCGTAGTATGCTGTGATACATGTTTCATATCCCTTAAAACTAAGTAGTTATCTCTGTCACAGTATTATGTCCATACTGGGATATGGCATGTCTGTTGTCAAGTCCTGTGATCTCCAATGTGAAAGCATGTGACATTGTGTACTGTACAATGCTGGAAACTAGGACAGATGTGTAAAACAAGCATATCATATATGCAGATGTTGTTTCTCAAAGTGACTGTGATCACCCTGTGCCATTTGTATGTAAAATGTTTACAAATCAATATTGTTTTATATATATGTGCATTTAAAAATAAAGCCATAGTTGACTGACGACTTTTGCCAATTTTAATATATAAAACTTAACAGGTCAAATATACAGAATGACATTTACAACTATTTGAATATCAGATAAGGCTTTAAGTACGAGTTAATGTAATGTTGTTAAAGTTAGTTGAATTACGACTGGCCAAAATAATTGCTTTTAGGTGGTACCTGTTACTTTTCTCAGCGCCGGTCAGGATGGACCAATCACAGTCGTTTGTGATGTGCATTTAAAAATAAAGCCATAGTTGACTGACGACTTTTGCCAATTTTAATATATAAAACTTAACAGGTCAAATATACAGAATGACATTTACAACTATTTGAATATCAGATAAGGCTTTAAGTACGAGTTAATGTAATGTTGTTAAAGTTACAGTTGAATTACGACTTGCTTTTAGGTGGTACCTGTTACTTTTCTCAGCGCCGGTCAGGATGGACCAATCACAGTCGTTTGTGATTACAGGATAAGGATTTGGCTTTTATATAAATTGATTTAGTTTGAAGTTTGGTTGAGTTCAAATATTTCCAAAATATATACTGTATGTGTGTATAATAAATAAACACAGTACACATAAATATATTATGTCAACAAAAACTTTTATTTTGGATGCAATTAATCGTTTGACAGCACTAATAATAATGAATGTGACATTTTTATTGGGCCTCATCTCAGAGATGAGCGGCTACAGAATTGTATTCACAGATGGTAATTTACCTCCATTATGCTAAGAAACAGGTCATACTCTATCAACGAGCAGATATGATCTTGTGAGAATGCGTTTAGAAGACAAATAGACAAACTGACCTGAAAAATAATACTGGTTAAAAGTACAGCTTATTCTAATTTTGTCTTTTTTTTTAATCTTATTTAACAGAGTGCATATGATTCATTGGTACGGTGAGTAGTCTGTAGAAAACGTTTAATTACAGAATATTGTCTAGTTAGTAATCACAGCGTGATTGTAATGATCCTGTGTTTTGGTTTCTTTTAGATGGGCAGAAGTGGAAACACCCAGAAGGAAAAAAATTAAACGCATTCTAGACTCAGGTGTTTATTATATATTTAGTTTCATTTCTCTGTTTTTGTCAAAATGAGAAGAAGAATTTTAGATAAAACCAAGTCATTAAAATCAAAACAATTTGAATAATATGTCTCTCTGTTTTAGATGATGAAAGTCCCACCAGCACTGACCGTGTAGTAGCTCCAGCAATGTCAAATACAAAGGAGTCTATGCTTCCCAAACAGCCCAGTGTGAGTCTCGTATCATAAAATGGGACTGTTTTGATATGTTTCTATATGTACCAAAGTTTCATAATAAACTTCACTGAAACTGCTCAGTCCATATTGGAAGAGACAGTTCACCCAAAAATGAAAATTCACCCTTGTGTTGTTCCAGTCTTGTGTCATGTAAATGTAAATGACTACATGTAAATGAATCTTTAAAACATTTGGCAGTAAAATTGTAGCAGTAAAGCATTTCTCTCTTCACTTTTAATAGCAGTCCTCTCCTGTGCCTGAAAAAACAAGGTATGTTTAGGATTTTGAACAATTTTGAAAACAATACAAATACAAGAATACCACAGTTTACCGTGGTATTTTGGCAAAAACTTACTATAGTAAAGTTATTTAAGGAAACGTCCCTGACTGTTTCCCTTTGTTTGCAGGCCGTGTGAAAAACTCAATCCATCAACCACAGGTACAAATGTGTTTGTGTTTTTGAAAACAAATGAACGAGAAGTATTATCATTCCTTACTGTAAAGAAACGGTTTCATTCTTTTCAGAAGCTGACGATGATGACACAGACATTGATTCAGTGAGTCTATCTGTACAGAACACATCACTCACATCACAAGCACATGTATTTACTGATATTTTCATGTAATTTGACAAGGGAAAAAAATTACAGCAAAAACACAAAACAAGGACATGCAAAACCCCAATGGCACCTTAGAACAAAAACATTGTTTACTACATACATATCAGACTGATACATGTCAAGAAAGAACCAAGGCTTGAGGACAAATAAATGAATGAAACAATCTCGCCTATATCTTTTTGGAAAACTTTTCCATAGCTTGGAATTTTACAAACTTTCAAGCCAGCAACATTGAGCGCAAAGGAACAAATTAACCAGGCCTCCTGGGCAAAATTGCCACCAAAAGTGACAAAAATTTAAATATTTTTAATATCTTTCCCCATAATGAGTTTTAAATAAAATGCTCAGAACAGTAACTTCAAAAATTTAAAAATACATCCAAAACCATTTAAATTTAGTACAATCATCACCATCCAGTATAGTTACATTACCATTCAAAAGATTTGTAATATTTCTAAAGTCTCTCATTCTCACCAAGACTGCATTTATTTGATCAAAAATACAGTATATTAGTAATATTGTGAAATATTATTACAATAATATTATTTAAAAAAGTGTTTGCTATAATAAAATATTTTAAAATCGAATGTATTCCTGCGATGGCAAAGCTGAATTTTCAGCATCATTACTCCAGTCTTCAGTGTCACATGATCCTTCAGAAATCATTCTAATATGCTGATTTGCTGCTCAAGAAACATTTTGTGAAAACGATACGTTTTTTTCATGATTCTTTGTTGAATAGAAAGTTCAAAATAAGAGCATTTATTTGAAATGGAAATCTTTTGTAACATTATAAATATCTTTCCTGTCTTTTTTGATCAATTTGATGCATCCTTGCTGAATAAAATTATTAATTTCTTTTTAAGAAAATGCAAAAACAAAACAAAGTTTGAACAGTGCATTATACTCACTTATTATTGATTATACTCACTTATAGTATAAGTTCTATTTATAACTTGCCTGTAACCAGAAGTGTAATTGCTCTCTCTTTCTCAGGATGATTCTCAGAGTTTGTTACAACCAGAAATGTACCATATCACAGTTCCATGTAGCATTCTTATGGACTCTGGACCCTCAGCAGAATCAGGTGCGTTCATTTCTCTTTTGTCTTGCTGCTGTCATTTCAAAGAGGCGTAAATCTGTGGACATAGACAGGGCCGTCGCAAGGGGGGTGTGAGGCCCTGTGCGACGTTGAGGTGTGAGGCCCTCTGGAATGGGGGGGGGAGTGTTGCTATAGTAACAAACACAACTTTCACACGCATCTAATGGACAGATAAACCAAGAGTAAACCTTATCATTCACTTGAACGCTGCACATCATTTCAGACATAGCCTAAATGAGCCTGGATGTCTAGTGTATTTTCTTGAACTTCTCAAGTAAAATTTGTGCTTTGACCCATTCAGAGGCAGCCAAAATTAGAATTTAAAAAGCTCCCTATGAACTTGACAGTGCTTGCTCACTGACAAAAATGCGTAAGAATCAGTCACACGCACATTTAGTTATTTATTTATTTATTCTTAATTCATTACTGTTGGTCACCCTTTTTGTCTGTGGGTTTTGCAAATATTTAACCAATGAAAAGTATTAAAAAGTGCTTGCGACTAAAACTAACTCAATCTTGAATGAAGTGCCGCACACACTCTGGACTGTCTCTCTCTGCTCATTTGCAATGCAAGGATAAATAAAGAAAAAAAGAATGGTTGTTTGAATATGTACAGCATTTTCTTTACTCAGTAAACACTATAATTATTTGGTTATAATGTCTTTTAGCATTTGTCGTCAGTCATATAGCATAGCAAGTATAGTCTTAATAGCCTGTGCATAGCACTACATCTTTAAAAACATGAGATTTTGGCCAAGTGGCAGAAAAAAAAAATTAGCAGCCACGTAGCAACAATAACTTTATAACCTGTAAGTTGATAAAAATGTAATGCGATGCACTGACTGCTTCAGATGCGGCCAAAGACGGACAAGACACATATATGTCTGACATTCGCTGGTTAGAAACCTGGTAATTCCACTTGAGCTTGATTTTGGTAAAATGTTCACAAAATAATGACACATGAAAGTGTCTGACCATATACACAGCCACAATATCAGCTTTGACAACACAGTGTTCAGTTATATAAAAAATGCAGTGTTTTTTCCCATTTCCTGAGAAGTAGCGGATTTGAACAAGGCTACTGCATAACATTTACCAAGCAGAATAATACAGCATCATGATACACATTGACTCACTATTAGCTGACTTTTAGCTAGCCTATAAGGACAAAAACGTGAACTGTTAAACTATTGGCTTTATTAACTTTATTTTGGTGCGAGGCCCTGCAGAGGTGCAAGACCCTGTGTGGTCACACACTTGGCACAGCCCTTGCGATGGCTCTGGACAGAGATTTATTTAAACACACTCTCTCTCTGTTTCAGAGTACAGTCTAGAACCTTCTTCACCTGCCGGTGCAGCCCCAGCAGCTATGTGCACCTCACCTGGGTCTGTCGCGGCCCCTGAACTAGAGGAAACACCATCCACAAGCAGAACTTCTCCACCGCCCAGAGCTCAAACCACTGACCCTACGCCTAACCAGGACCGTGCCAGCGATGGTCCCACAGGTCAGCCCGGATCACCCCCGCATTCAAGCCCCACTGTTGACGTTTTAGCAGTGTCAATATCTGCAGTACAAACACTCTCACTCTTAGTACAAGCATCTCACTTAAAATCTGAGCAGCTACCAGAACCTTCTCCTCCGGCAGGGGTTTCTTCATCACCAGGTCGTCCCGCTGCAGCAGATGCTTCTGATGTGGGTACCACAGAGAAATCCCAGTCCAGTGCTGCCATATTCTGGACCAGATGTAATGAGGCTGGGTGGACTAAAGAAGTCTTCTCAGAGCTCGTGTCTCAGCTGAGCAGCCTAGGAGAAAGAGTGCTGTCACAGGAAGCCTGCCACCAAGGTGAGAACAGCCTTGATTCAGACCAGTTTTGTGGAATATTTCAGGTTCAATACAAGTTAAAGGTGAAGTATGCGGTTTCTGCGCTACTAGTTTCACCTCGTAAAAATTACAAAAATAAGGCATATTTTCAAACAACCTTTGCAAAGGCCTCTTTCACCCACGCTCTTCTGATTATTCTTATCCTTACAATATCTTATTTTATCCGGGGCTTGACGGTAAAGTGGCAAAAGCTTGAGTTTAGAAACTTCAGCAAGTTCAACGTCTTGACTAAAATGCAAACATTGAATCAAATTCATCCATCTTATAAAAGCATTACCAATGTTTACTCTCCTCTTAAGGCCCGTTCACACCAAGAACGATAACTATAAAGATGACTATATTAGCGTCCACACCAGCAGATGATATCATCTGTTTATTCCAAGCGCACGCTCGTCTGCCGCTTTAAACTCTCAAGCTTGTTATAGCTGATTGATTCTGATTGGCTGTCAATGTTTTTATCGTTCATCAGCAGCGTTTCTCTGTGCCTTTATAGCTGTGGTGTGGACTCTGCTATTCTTTCATATTGAAAGCGATTTTTAAAACTATATCTGTATCGTTATCTTTATAGTTATCGTCCTTGGTGTGAACAGGCCTTTACCCTGTTGTCTGTCTCTGTGTATTTTGGCAAGCTTTCGAATTTTGGCTTGCTGGTAACAAACCAGATCTGAATTTCTTTACCTATGTAATGTGTCAGCGATGGTCCCACACACTGGCTATAAAGCCTCTCTCTCTGTCTGCTAAAGTAGCCACAGTCCAAACTCTTGCTATAGGTTGAACTGGAAAGACATTGACGGATTTGAGCGGACCACACTAAATGTTTTTTAGTGCCTGGGAGGCTCAATGTTTACGCTTTTTGGGGAGATAAACCCTTGAATGCAATACTTACAATAGTCAATGAATGATAATATGGGTTGAGAGAAGATATTTTAACAAAAAAATCTTATAAACATTGGCACCGATAGCCTTGTGGGCAGCGTGCTGACATACAGCGCCATTGTGTTGATCACTGATCTATAATCATTATACGGTTATATTGTCACAAACACTATTAACTCACATTGAATCTGAAATATCCCTGTTATGTTCTATAACCCTCAATAAAATGCTGGGTTTTTGTTTATACAACTGAAAGGCTATGAAATATTCCACAGACTATGATGTTGCTCTCAAAGTATTGTTGGCATCTGGACAGCTGCCTTGCATTTTTACTCAGCTGGAACAAGGTACATTTCATTTGTAACCACCTAAATCTAAAGTGTTACATGATTTCAACCCCTTAACAGTACGTTTTGAATTTATATACTTATCATTTGAATGGATAAATGAGTACATTTCTTTGTGCCTTGTAATGAATCACATATTAGAAAGGAGAATTATTATGGGGACTTAAATGGCACTGTTTCATGAGAATGACTTTGTTCTTTGTGTTTCCAGACCTGGAGAAACAGGAAAGGGATTTGCAGAGGAAAAAAGCAGCATTGAGGGATGCCAAAGCTGTACTAGATGTTTAATATAACAATCTAACAGAATTAAGATGTTTTATCGTTTTTAAAAATGTTTTTTTAAAGTCCAGAACATTTCTGCAGTTTGCATACATCAGATGGTTTTGATCAGACATTTTTTACATCAGTAATAGAAATCTCATGAAATATATCTACATATGTCATTTTGATATGATTATTCTTCTGTTTTCATAATCTAAATAAACAGTAAGAAACATTCTTTACAGAATGCCGTTCTTTGCATCTTGCTTTGTATTTTAAAACATAGCTTTTGACACTTTTGAAGAGGAGCTGAGAGTGTGCAGTATGTGTCTGTTGTACACAGAAATGCTGTGTATATTGTCTGTTGACTGTGGGAAGTGAGACTCATGTCGTCAGCCTTTGCTCATCTGTAAACAGTTCAGAGCAGGAGACTGAACAGCCAATCAGCACACAGCAACAAATTGACCTCTAATGAGGCCTCAGGTCAACCACAAACGTGCCTGAAGGGCCAGTCAAACCTTTTATTAGTGTGCCTTCATTAGAGAAAAAACACTCCATTCCCAGTATGGACACTAGGTGGCATCAGACACATATTGACACAGCTTCAAGAGGATCACCAGGTCACTTTTCATTATAGATAGCTTCTTTCAGAACTATCAGTTGTCATTGTCCTTTCAACTGTACTTAGGCAATGTAGTCCAAACCTTGTCTAAACAGTTTTCAGTGAATTCATTTGGATAAATATTTGAAGTCAAAAACATACCAATGCTTTAATAAAACTACGCAAGTAGATCAGTTAATGTACATTCAGATATAAACATGAAAATATATTAAATAGTTTTATGACTTTTTTAAATGTATTTTTAACTATCATCTGTATTAGATAATAAATATAATAGAATGTGTTACTTATTCATGAAAGTTATTATAAAAGGGTCCCTTTACCTTTTTTTTTTTTCTTTTCTTTTTTAATTTTAGAACCACCAAAGCAGTGAAGACTTGAAAATAGTAGGACGTAAGATCTTAGAAGCAGCCTTTTCTTTTAAAGGCTTTTTCAAGTTGTTCGCTGAACCCCCTCTTGTCTGTCATTACTAATGTCTAGACCTGCTGAGAAATCAAGACAATGGGAACAATAAAAGAGTCTGCATTGGGGGGTTTGCAAAGAGTTACCCACCCATCCCTGTTACGTATTATATTACTGACTGATGCTGAATGGTTCAGTGGCATATGAGTAGAACATATCAAAATTATACATTTATTATTAATAAATCTAATTAATATTAAGATCATCTATCTTTAGAATTTTAACTAAATCTAACACTTTATTTTTGAAGAGACGCTTGTACATTGTCAATATTTTATTTTGTCATAGGACATCATTTCACAATGTAACAGGTCTTTGACACAGAGACAGAATACTTAGGTTTATTAAATACAGCACTTGTGGAATGTACCATAAGACAGTGTACAGAGAAAATTCAAGCTTTTTTGGGGATTGAAAACCAGATTTGACAAGTCTTACAGGACAACTTTTTCAGAGCACCTTTTCTGAAAAGCGCATTGCCTTTGAGTAGCTGCATGGCCATGCTGTTAAAAATAAGACTTATGAATTGGTGGTGCATTTTATTGTGAATAAAATTAATGTACAGTGGGTACAGAAAAGAATCACCCTTCTGTTCTTTCTGGGGGGTTTTTCTGACATGTTGGTGTTATATATTTCACTTGGATGTTATAAGCTGCACAGAGAAAATACAGCTGGATAAAACAAAAACTGTGCCTGTCTTCATTTTGGGCTGCAAAGCAACACAATGTGATTATTTTAAAGGGGGTGATTCTTTTCTATACCCACTGTATGAATGGTTTTATTGTTAAGAGGACATACGATTTCTGCAGTAACCAGTAAAATTAGGTTAATAGTTGTAATTAACATTACTGTGCAGAAGTGAATTATTTCAGGAGCAAAACACATCAGAAGAAAGAAGATAACTTTTACCTTCATCCTAACATTTGAAGAGTTTGGTAAGATGTAAGTTAGACCAGCAAAAATGATCATGTTAAATAGATTAATGTATGTCTAAAATGTTTTAGTGGTTATTTGACTCTGAAATATGTTCAGCCAAAGTCACTTATTTAATATTATGTGCAATAGAGATCACAGAGGTAAGATGTTAAAATACACTGTGGAAAATACTGTAAACTGCTATTTACTGTTAGCAATTTATCAATATGGCTAGTTCAGATGAAAGGCAAATGACAGTAACAAACGAGAGAGGTTTGGTTTGATTTTCAATCACATGTAACTAGTGCAAATACAATTGTTTCATTCAAGAAAGCCGATATATCAACAATAAATCAACAATAATTTCTACATAAATCAAATAAACACAAAGCTGATCAGCTGCTGATCATTGTACATTGTCATTAAATAAAAGGATAAGCTCAGTTTATCAATATCACCCACTACAGAAAGTAGATATCAGTAAGTGTCTTCAGTGCTTATGTAAAGTGTTTTCTGGGTTGTAGATTCTCACACACGCAGACAGAAATAAAGCCTGGTTTGTCTTCCAAATGGACAAGAGCAGCAGTAGTAACAGCAAAGGCAGAAGCAACATTGAAAGAGATCGTAACCACGGGCTGCCACGCACAGTACAGCTCGACACTATGCACACACAGCTGACAATTCAAAAGATCTGCTGCTCAAACAGAATCTTTTCAAAGCCTTCAGGTGGAGTATGGTAGAAATCACTGAACTGGCAGTCTACGATGGCACTGTCATCCACTGAGGGAATGAGAGGGGAGATTACAAACATCAATGAATTGCATAAACTTTGTCATTTCATGACATTTTGTCTCTGCAATATATAGTATATCATGAAAAATATACCTTTTTTAAAAACTTGTATTGAAACTTATTGTTAAAGATATAGCCAATTAAATTATTGCTTTATGGTATGTTCCCTTCAACATAAGAACAATCTGCACATTCTTAAATGTTCTTTTAACCTTTTTTAAACTTGAAATGAAAAATCTGTCATCATTTGCTCTCCCTCATGCTGTTACAAACCTTTATTTCTTCTGCAAAACATGAAAGAAGATATGTTGAAAACGATGGGAACCAAACAATATTGGAGCCCAGTGACTGCATTAACACTGACTTCCACTGTATGGCATTTCTCAAAATATTTATTTTGTGTTCGACAGTAGAAAGTAAGTCATATTGGTTTGGAGAGACATGAGGTTGAGTAAATGATGTCAATTTTTGGACGAACAATCCTTTCAGTTTGCATAAAATAGGCACAAAAAAGGACCACAATACTTAAACGGTGGCTGTAAGAAACAAAAGTCCCGGTTTTCAATGAAAAGAGCTAATTAATGTTCTGGAAACGATTTTGGTTTTTACTTTAAAATGTGCTGTTCATTAGTTGAAAAAAAGTTCTTAGCATGACTGAAGCTAAAGAAACGTTAATATATGATATCAATATTGTCATTATATTGGAGAAATAAAATTATATATATATATATATATATATATATACACATTATATAACTGAAATACTCACCATAAACTATGGGGAACACAGTCCCTCGAATACCTGAGGCTGGACACTGCATGTTCTTTCCATTTAAGTACAAGTTCAGTTCCACATGATCATAGGTCACCCCCTTAAAACAGAGACACGCATTTACGAACAGAAGCGATATTTCTTATACAGCATGTTCTTGCTGTATTCCACAATTTAGCTATTGATGGCTCACAATCCAAAAGTAAAAACGTACCACTATATCCCCCTCCTGAGGAAGGCTGTTGGCAGGTAATCGATTCTTTTCCTCATTATTGTGGTATATGGAGCCATCGTGTCTAAGCACCAAACTGTGACTGTCTTGACCCAGTGGCACCTGGTTCAAATTCACCTTCTGAGTGGCCACACCGATCCCCCAAACACCTGCACCACAAACACAATCAGCAGCACACCTTCATGAGACAGTTATATCCCAATAATAGGTCATTTTATTTGTCTTTTTATTATTTTTTATTATGACAGCATTTTAGTGGCACGTAAAATAAAATAAAAATCTAAGATTAAGAGATTTAAATTATAATATTTGGGGAATACACTCAAAATTACAAGAATAAAGTCATAGCAATATGAGATTAAAGTAGTAATATGACTTTAATCTCATAATCTTGGATTTTTTTTTTTTACTTTAAATGGCACTATATGATTTTGTTTGTCTTTTGAAATTGTTGAGAAACATGAAATATGATATGGGTTACTGTCATAAATTAACTTTTATATTAAGGGAAAATATTGCTTAACCATATGAAGCATGGCATCCCTTAATGTCTAATGCAGGGCTGCCCAAACTCAGTCCTGGAGGGCCGGTGTCCTGCAGAGTTTAGCTCCAACTTGCCTCAACACACCTGCCTTTAAGTTTCTAGTATGCCTAGTAAGAGCTTGATTAGCTGGTTCAGGTGTGTTTAATTGGGGTTGGAGCTAAACTCTTCAGGACACCGGCCCTCCAGGACCGAGTTTGGACACCCCTGGTCTAATGCTTTATTTCTGGCTATTGCAATTGATTCAATTACTTAACTAGAGTTGTGTTCTCAAAACTGATTTTATTTATTGACTTATTTAGGTCCAAATCTGTTTTACATCAACAACACACTCAATGACATTAATCTTAGAGACAACAAATCATTCTATCTGACGGCTACAAAGTGCTACAGTGTTGCACAGGCATTAGAAAAATATGAAAAACAATTCAAGTGAGACGGAAAATACCTACAATAGAACATTATGAAAAGTCTGGCCCTGCTCTGTAGTTACAACTATCATGGAGGCACTCACCCGTGGACTGGATCTTGAACTCAAAATAGCTCTTGTTCTGCTGCAGAGGGGCGTTGGCAAAGCAGGCTCCAGTTCCACAGATCCGCCTCCCACTTTTCACTATGACCACATCCGTCCCTGGGAAAAAAGGCCAAGCAAACTCCCATGACCACACTGCCACAGCACTGAAATACAGGTATGCATTATTGCATTTCATGTTTCAGAGATAACTGATAAAAGAAAAGCAAGGCTGAAATGAAAAACACTTCCCGGATTCACTCAATTATAAAAGATTAAACAGATATTGGATCTGTCAGTTGTATACTAGCAACTAGCATGTGATCCGGAGTAGAGAGGACCACTTTAGCTGATTAATTAGACACTGTTAGGAACGAATGCACATTGTTTATTTAAAAACAGTGATGGTTAGAATATTTATTTGTCTATTTGTGTTGAAAAACTAGCCATTGTTTTTTTTAGGATACAGCATCATCTGCTAGCTAGACACATCTCATCGCTTTACATTTTAAATTGGTGACTTCCAGTGACCCCTCTGAGCGGTGGAAATGACTCTTACCCATGTGATGCGTGTCTAGCTGTACGGTGGGCATTTCTTTGAGGGGAGCATGACCCGGTGCGCCATCCCCGCAGCAGCCCAAACAACACGTAAACATTGCAGCCATTCTAGCGCCGATCTCGCCGGAAGTGCAGTTACACGCGTCAAACTGAAGAGCGCACAACGCTTCCAGGATAGAATGGATCCCGTGGGAAAAAGTCAGTGTTGACTGGTGCTGTTTTGAGACACACAAGAGCTCCGCCTCAAGAGGGCGCTTACCGGTTCGGAAAGTCTTCTTTGGGCAGTATTCAGAACGTTTTTTTAATTGAAAACCTTTTTACACTTTTTATTTTTATTTATATATATATATATATAATTTCGTCTCTGTGATTCTTACCTGATTTTCGAATGTAAATCCGCCTGCAATCTCTATAAAAATAGATTTTTTTAACAAATCCATTAAACACCTTGCGTTATGCATGTGATATTTACCTGTCATAAAAATAATATACAAACAAATATATTCTTTAACTTTTTGTGGGGTGAATCATGTGGCACTTAAAAACTAGCAAAACAAAAGAAAAGTCCTCCAGTCTGCCTCGTCACTGTGTATTTTCAATTCAATGGCTATTAAAGTTTCTCAAGAGTGATTATACGGATGCAAATATTTATCCAGACCGCTGATAGAGCGTCACGGACCATTTGCAGTCGTTTGGGATTAAAGTCCAAAGCCAAATAAATGTACAATAAAAAAGCGAGAGCATACCATATATCATAGTGTTGAATTGGACTGGGATACAAATTTATGTTTTTAAATGTATGTGTCCCCTTTGTGAATTTTGGTTTGTGTTATTATCGAATTAGCATACAATGAATAAAAACAAATTATCATAAAAAGCGCTTAACCGGTTCGTGGGCCCTCTCGTGGCCAATTACGTCACTGCATGCGCTCTCATCCCTGACTCGACCAATGAGCGCAGCGCCTCGGAACCCTTCTCTTCCTGATGGCATGGAAACAGGGGAAGAGAAATCGAGGTCAAAATATTTTGACACGTGACTCGGTAGCGATTGGTTATCGATGCGTCAAGACCGTAACGCGTGGCACGTGCATATGCGACCAAAGTGGCGTGATTAAGGATCATCTCTGTGGCAGAGAACAACGATGTGCTTTTTGGTTCTGTGTCTGTAACTCATGACTAGTTGTAAACAAAAATCACGTCGTTATTGAAGCTCACTAAATAGATGAATTAGGCGTGTGTGTGGGTAGGTGATGGGTAACGCCAGTATTGACGTAATCTGCAGAGAAACGCTGATCTAGGAGCGAGTGAGTGCTCCCCCGCAACAACCCCATCCAATAATGAAGGGACCCTCTGCATTTATTTCTCACCGCACAAAACGTGTATTCACTGCTTGAGTCTGCAAACACACTTCGCTACGACGATATTACGCTGAATGTGGCGTTGAAATGTGTGTCTTTAGATGCGCTATTCATTAGCTGTTTGTGCGCATTATTTTTAACTTCCTGGCCATACTGACTTGACCTGAACTAGTTAAAATTTCCCAATTGGAAAGGGCGAAGTCTGCACAGCAACAAGAATCATGATTGCGTTGCGCACTGCCTAAGCATCTAGTGCGCTTCTGGTCCAATTGCTGATGCTTTCCGCCTGCAAAATCTGCCACAACCGTAGTAATACCTTGACAACCGGACCCGGGCGAACCGAGAAACATTTTTGACAACTCGACGGGAGTCTTTTTTTCTAAATCAATACGTTGAAGTTTGTTGGACAGGTCCTCGGAAATTCCTGCACGAAAGTTCTCACGCGACAATTAAATATGAAGTACTGGTGCACTCAGAAGTCTTCATCATCAGGCAATCTGTCTAAATCAATACGTTGAAGTTTGTTGGACAGGTCCTCGGAAATTCCTGCACGAAAGTTCTCACGCGACAATTAAAAATGAAGTACTGGTGCACTCAGAAGTCTTCATCATCAGGCAATCTGACCTAATATATCTGGTTAACCTGTCATGCCTCTTCCACAGAGTCGCTTGATATGCATTGAAAAATATCGTCTGCTCGATGCAAATGTAAAAAAAGAAAGAAAGAAAAAAGCTTGCAGGCTAGGCTTCACATGGAAGCAGTTTCTCATTCTCAGGCAATTTGGTTCTATAATTTATTCACTGTAGACTAGTAACGCATTCTCGTAAAACCAACCAAACAAATAGGCTACTTGGTTTATTGCGCGTAATATGGATGATGTCTAAAATGATACTGGACAGCACTGAGTGCTCTGGACTTCACGATCGGTGCGAGATGCCAGATAAAGACGCTTGCTAAGATGATGGAAGTTGCATTGATGTGTCATGCCCCCGACAAGCTTTCATATTGATGTCTTTTTCCATTTTAGGATACGATGGAGCTCTTGGAGGAGGATCTCACATGCCCAATATGCTGCTGTCTTTTTGAGGACCCGCGAGTTCTGCCGTGCTCTCACAGCTTCTGTAAGAAGTGTCTCGAGGGCATCCTGGACGGTATCCGGGGCCCTGCGTGGAGACCACCGTTTAAATGTCCGACCTGTCGAAAGGAGACCGTGCACAACGGCATCGCGAGCTTGCAAGTCAATTACTCCCTACGTGGCATCGTGGAGAAGTACAACAGGATTCGAGTGATGCCGAGGATGTCTCTCTGCCGAGTTCACAGCGGACAACCGCTCAACATTTTCTGCGCCACGGATCTGAAGCTCATCTGTGGTTTTTGCGCCACGACAGGTGATCATAAAGGACACAAGTTTTGCGCGCTGGAGGAGGCGTACGAACGCGAGAAGCTCGCGTTTGAGGAGTTGTTTCGTGTCGTGGAGGGCTGGAGGGGCGAGGAGGTGCATTCGTGCCTGGAATCGTTAGAGGAAGCGAAGAAGAAAGCGCTGGAGAGGGTGTCGCGGGACGCAGATCGAGTCTCGGAGTACTTTGACAAACTTTTGCGCACGCTGGAGCACAAACGGAGAGAGATCCTCTCGGACTTGGAGACTCTGAAGCTCGCGGTCATGCAGACCTTTGACCCCGAGATCAACCAGCTCCGTTCGGCGCTCGAGGAGCAGCGGCGCGCGCTCAGCATCGCCGAATCCTTCCGTTCGCTCTCGGACCCGCTCACTTTCCTCCAGCAGATGCAGGACTTCAGGGAAAAGCTGCGCGTCATTCGGGGAACGCCGCTGCCGTCGCAGACGGACGTGGATGTGGGTTTGCTTGGCCTGCAGAGCTTCGATGTGAAGGAATGGGACCGGGTGCTTCTTGGAGAGGTGGACAAGCTGTGCGCCCCCTACGAGAGCAGCACCTACCTGGCTTCGCAGCCCTCTGCTGCAGCTCCGCGCTTCTCCCGTGTACTGTGGAGAGTTGTTCTGGTTGTATGTGCGTGCCTCCCCGCGCTGAACTTTCTCCCGTCGGACTGTCTCGCTCTGGGCTTCCAGGATAAGGTGGTCGCACTCAGTGGCTTTTCTCTGCCCGGTCCTGGAGAGATTGTGCGCTGGTTTGGGTTCTGCTGGAAAGAAGCGGAAGCGATCTGCACGCTACTAACCGAGCTGTGTCGGAACTGTATCTTGGACCTGATAAACACAACATCAGATTTCATCAGCTGATTTTATAACTTCATTCATTAGGTACTTTTTTTTTTATGTACTACAGTGTGCCAACCTAGAAAATCCAGTATATCATTGGGGAAATTTAGTTTGTGTCTCTGTTTTTGAATGTGTAACAAGAATGGCTGATTTGTACAGTCAGCATTTGTGTGCTATTAAATTGCACTGATTGTGTCTGTTGGTTTTAAATGGAAAAACAAGTGTGGATGAATCGTGGTTCACTAATGGGATAACGTTCCCCAATCTTAAACTTAATAAAATGCCTTGTTGACTGAAGTTATATAGAGCTGTATCTCCAAAAGTTCCTCTTGAATACAAGTTTTCACTTTTTAATATATTATGCTTGTTGCAGTTTTGGAAGCACCAGTGTTGGAAGTTAACTAAAAGGGGACACTTATTCCGATTGTGCATTGATATCGTTTATCTACTCTGTGCGAGTTATCAGGAGACTCAAGGTTAAACGTTACGTAACTGAATGTCAGTCTCGCACCAGGACAGTAAATGTAGTTATTCAGTATTATTTATTTATTTCAGTATTACTCAGAATGAACTTGCATACTGATATTTGTTTATGTTGTTTAGTCATTGCCATAATGTAGCTTAAATGTTGCGATAACATTTGGCATTAAGAGAAAGTTCGGGAATTATAATTTCCGAAACAAAACTTTATCTGAGCATCATTGGCTAATGGAATGCGATTCGTGTTTTGAGGGGCAATTCTTTTATATACTCTCATATTTTTATACAAAAAAAAAATCAGACCTCAACAATGTCTTGGTTTCAACCAAGAGAGACATGAGATGTGCACCATTAAACACAAAGTCAGGACTGTTTAGAGGAAAAGTGGAGGTATCCCTGTTTCCGCCACGGTTTAAACGCCGGAACCCTGAGAGATTCTGTGTTCTGATATGACGTCACCGAACATATATTTAGCCGACTGTTGCCAGGCGAACTGAGGGGTGAAAAGTCAAATGACCTATTTTAACCTACTTGACAAAATAAAACCTTACATAACTTAGAGCAAATTAAATAACAACAAATTGATTAATACACGTACATTTTTTCTGAAGCCTGCAGAAAACATTGCCGACAAATAGGAAGCTCGTTCTGAAATGGCACCATGTGTTATGTAATTCCAATTCTTCGATTTTTCTCACTTGTAAAACAAATGTAACATTGTGTCTTTACATAGCGACACTATCTTCACTCTATCACATATCTATCTTACACCAGTAGCCTATAGGCCTACCTCACTATTATTTTAAGAAAAAAAAGGCAGTCACATCAACACACGTGAAAGGCTGTTTATTTTTGCTTTAAACGTTTTGTCTTTGTGTTTAATGTTTCTAATGACTGAATTGCTTTAATAATTGATTTGGTCAATACTAGTCTCTTGAAGGAAGTGACTACACCGAAAAGTAGCACATTGCATGCTCCCATTTTCTCCTGTATTTATTTTTAAAGTTGTAAATTGTTATAGAGATAAGACTTCAAATACATTTCCCTTCATTGCATGTATGATATATACTTAAGTTCTAGCATCATGCTTAATTCTCTTTAAAAATGTGTCAAATGAGATATATGGCATTGTGTGAAGCAGCAAAAGTCTTACAGCGTCTGTGTGTCCTGTAATTGTAAAATGTGAAATGCATTAGTTTTATTAGGCTACTTTCTTGCAGACACTAACTAACAAACAACATTTGCCCATGGTATATCCGGCTACATTAAAAAAAATTAAATCCAGTTCATATGATCGCCGTTTAAATTTCAATTATAAGCCGCATAAATTAAACTGTCATGCGGCGCATCATGAAATAGCAACACGATTTTGCATTGTGATAAACGATGCACCAATAGGGAACATCAGCAATTAGCCTAGGTTATAACTGCAAATGTCTCAAAACTTCCAGACAACGTGTTATGGTTGTCGAGAAAGAGAAATAAATTATATTATTTTTTATTAAAATTACATATGTTAACCTTTCACATATACGCATTGTCCTGCATGTAACATTTAAGGCACTCAGCAAAGAGCCGTAAGGGTTTGAGAATTAAATCTCATTGTTTTGTCTATAGAATTAAAAGAAGAGCGTGACGATCAGCAGCTGTATGCAGAGAAAATGTCGAGAATTATTTGGACCTTATAAGTTTCCCCGACATAAACACTAAAACACTTAAAAAAATTCCTTTGGAACTTCGGTCCAAACACACGACGACCAGTATAGGCCTAACTAAAATCAGTATATTCACAATTAAATTAAGCAAAAACATGTAGCCTATTTTATTTAAATGTCTGCCTAAGAGTAAAGTTAAATTAAATAGCCTATATTTTTCACAGCCATAAAATGACATGAGGACTTCTCAAAGCATCAAATACAACAAAATAAGTGAGAGCAGAATTTATTTTTTAGGTTCTGATAAAAACGTATTTAATTAAAAAAGGCGCTTAGAAATCAGTATTCACATTAAATGATCTATTTGCTTAAATAAATAAAAACCTCAAGACAATTTGACGTTACTTTAAAAAAATTCCTTTGGAACTTCGGTCCAAACACACGACGACCAGTAGGCCTAACTAAAATCAGTATATTCACAATTAAATTAAGCAAAAACATGTAGCCTATTTTATTTAAATGTCTGCCTAAGAGTAAAGTTAAATTAAATAGCCTATATTTTTCACAGCCATAAAATGACATGAGGACTTCTCAAAGCATCAAATACAACAAAATAAGTGAGAGCAGAATTTTTTTTTTAGGTTCTGATAAAAACGTATTTAATTAAAAAAGGCGCTTAGAAATCAGTCTTCACATTAAATGATCTATTTGCTTAAATAAATAAAAACCTCAAGACAATTTGACGTCTTATGAGCGTAACCTACTGAACAATTAACCATTTCATCTTGAAACGTTTCTCCATTAAATTATTAAAATGTGTGTATTTTGACATGACCAAATAATAGATTAAAATCAGCTCTATGAAACTGTGCACTGTTGCTACATTATGTAAGCTGCGCTGCCCATCTTTCGATCAAGTCTAAAAGCATCATATGACTAAAACGAAGCGTCAGAAGATTAAATCGACATGTGTCAGAAGTGATTATGTTACGAGTTAAAGGCAACAATGGTTTTAAGTGCTGGTCAATTAAACAAAAAAAATAAGACGTCTTTTCATTATTGTCAAGGATACAAAATGTGATAAAATCAGGCAAACGCAGCATTCAGACATGAAAAACCACACACGCACTTTGCGTGTAAATGGGTCCCTTGTAAAACTCCTCAGTTTTACAAGGGATTATACAGAAATTATACAGAAATAAATAAAATTATTTTTTTCTCAGAAAACAAGGACGCGGCAAAAACGAGCCCGAATGGTGGTTTTAGATGATTTAGCTAGCCTACTCATAAATGGGTGTTTTTTTTTTACATTTATTTTCATAAAATGGCGTTAATTATTTCAGTGATATGCTTTTTGAGGCCTGCATTGCATTATAGTAGACTACGGTCTCATTATTTCAGGCCGACAGAACTTTGAAATTTCACCAAAAATGATATTATTTAATATAAGCACTGTCACGTAAGGTTACATAGGCTACTAGTGACTTGTACTGTTAACATGAAATAACACGTCATTTACAACTACCAGGAAATCTGAAAAATAACTTGCCCACATCAGAACTTCGCTGCATGATAAGCGTTTTAACACTGATGTTATATAAGATTGATATTGTACGCATGCGCCGTTCGGTAACCTCTCGTTTGCCTCTGATATTAATGTGCCGTCCAAAACTTGCTTATTTGTTATTACTGGAAAAAAGTCTATTTGGAGTCAGTTTTGTGGTCTCAGTGTACTCACCGGAAATGAGGAAAACTTGGGGGGGGTAATGCACTTCACATTATACGGGTTCATCAACCAGAAAAAAACAACAATTTCTGCAACAGTATTGAAACACAGTAAAGAAGAAAAGCGACCACAAAGACGAGATCTCATGACAGAAGTTGCGTTTCCTGTGGAAAGTGTTGAAAAAAGCACAACATATACATCGACAAAAGGTTCGCTAACGAGGTTCAAATAAGTACGCGACAGGTCAGACCAGCTTTTTCCTTATTTTTTCCAGTTTTATTATTTATTTGCATCAACACAAAAAAGCAACAGCACGTTTAGAAGAATAGTGATTTCATTTAGAATATTTCGTTAAAGAAAAAAAAAAAGAAAAAAAGACGATTGAAAAAAAGTGATACAAGGCTAAATTTATATTTTTACATATTGAAAACAAACAGTAAAAAGCAAACTTTTTGTATAAACATTAAGAAAAAAAGCTACTTAACTTCACAAACAAAAAGTACTGCATCTATTTTACCTTTAACCATTCCGTTCGTTCCGATGAGGCTGAGGGTCCTCCTGACTTCTCTGTTGGTTTTATGATTCAGTCCATGAAGGTATTTCAGTACCAGTGAGTCAGCCACTACCTGCACCGGCTAGGCCCTGGTAGCTGTGATAAAATGATGACGTGCATGTGCTGCTTGGTGACTTCTTGCTTCAGCAGCACGAGCAATATTGGAGGCATTGGCCAAGGAGTAACTCCAATATTTACATGCTGCTAAAGCAAGACAACACACACATTCACACACACAATCTTTCTCTTCTCTCTCTCTCTCTCTCGACTGCGTAGGTCCCAGGAATTGATGCTGCAGCACATCACGGCCTGCATCTCTGTATCACCACAAACCATTCTGTGCTGCTACACCATCACCTAGAGAGGGTCCCTCTCTCTCAATCACGCACTCACACCCTCGGCAACATGACCAAGCACTGCCAGAATCACAGAGCGAGTGACTCCTCTCCTCCCTCTCTCTCTTTCTCTCAGCAGGGCTTGAGGCATTCCAGGACTCCATCTGAAACACAGAAGAGAGGAGGACGCTTGAGTGAGAACATACACACAGTAGCTGGACGTGATGCTGTCAGTTTGCAGTAAAATACTTCAGTGTCTACTACTGTGTTTGCCTGCAAACCATTTGCATCCAATTAGGAAAAAATGTGTTATTTCTACATGTGTGTGCAGGACCTGCTAATGTACAATTAAGTGTTCAGGATATACATATTGAGTTTATCAATATTTTTTTTATTCAATATTTTTGCATAAAAAAAACTTTAGAACGATAGCATACATGAAGTAAAATGTATACTTGTTACTACTTATTGCACACTGAATCACAGAATAAAGGCATTCAGTAAAAAGGCATCTACAAGTCAAGAAAACTAATGATTTGGTATGATTATGCATATTTAAAAGATCCATCATTCCCAGTGGGTCCTGTACTGTTTTGGCATATTTACTTTTTATTATATTTTGAAACAGGACACAAGAGACGACTAAAAATGAGGCATTACAAGAGTCTTATACAGTAATCAATTTTATTTTTTACATCATCCCCAGTGGTACATTATCCTCCATTCTTATTTTCTACAGGATGGATTTTATGCAGACAAACCTCTCAGCAACTTTCAAGCATTATACCAAAACCTGTCCTCTGGCAACTCCATCAAAAATAATGATATTAAAGAAAACAAGAAACGAGCACTTTTGCCTTCTAGACCAGTCTGGATTTAACCTCCAAGATGGTGATTCAGCACTGACAACATCCAGCCTCGTACTCATCTTCAACAGCGAGAACAGACCTGCCACCAGCTTCCCAAAGTGCTGTCCCACAGCTGAAGACATCTCTTATGCCCACACTATGTTAAATAAGAAATCTATTTTTTCTGAATCAATCACTGTGCTTCATGTACAGTTATGATAAAAAAAGGTGAATGTTAGTGTTTACCAAGTCAGAGTTGATGCGAGACATCATTAACATATAAAGATCTAATTTAAAAAAAAACCTGAAGTACTGATAGTAATATTAGATATATTTATACAACTGACAATAGAACGACAAACACAGAATCTCAATATCAAAGTATTTTCTTTGACACCAGCTTCCTAAAGATTTGGAATTTAGTCTCATCTTAAAATAAAATTCAATTGTGTTGAATTATATTAGATTTTCTTTAGAAATAGGAGAGTTGTAGCATTAAACAATAATTCAAGTACATTACCATGCCTGCTTTTTAGTAGAAAAAAAGTGAAGCAGCAGAAAGGTGAGATCTGAGTGTACTAAATAATACAGCATTTTACAGCCAACGATACTACTTGTGATGAAACGATTACATAATTTTCTTGAAATTTAATAGTTTGTATCTTTATTAGTATATTAAAACATTAATTATAACAAAATATTAGTTAACGACAAGTTTCAAGCATCTGTTTATTATGATCACTAAGGTGTAACACTGACACCAATGTTACGACCTGATTAACATAACTATTAATTTGGGTCAATGATGAACATGGATTCACGGCCAAGAAACAAGCCATTGTGACAATGCTACAATAGTCATATATTGTATAGCTCCTGATAAGTCACTGACAGTAAAATGTTTTTTTCTCCTGTAAAAAAAAATTATTTAAAAAAAAAATAGCGTAGGAGATTTTGACAGCAAACAAGAATAGAAACGTGTTTTTCTAAAATCAGCCAGTTAGTTCTGTCACCTAAACAAAACCTAATGCCTAGTTGTGATCTATGAGATTGACAGGAAGACAACTAGATCCTCTCACACACAATATAGTCAATGCTAGACTAGCTTTAAGAGCCAATGGCCTGCACTTGATAATGACAACAAACTGGCAATGGCTTCTAAATGAGATTTGGCATCTGAAATATTTTTTTCTTCCAGCATTTACTTGAGCTAACACACCTCAAAAGCAAGAAATACAAATAAATCCACTAGACATTACAGTGAATTTGCACTTTCACAGAAGTTAGAGCCTAGCCAGCACTGCCTGAAAAAAAGGGATTGGCTATCATGATAGGCAATTGTAAGTACAATTAAAAAAAAAAAAAAAGCTTTACACTTCTCTTGTGCAAGCAAGCACTGTGTCGATCTAAAGCGGACATCCCATTGCTTGAAGGGGATTTTAAAGACTTAATACCATGATGGCTTGTCAGATGTCAAATGCTGAAAGTGTCATTTACTGGGCATATAGCACCTGAACTGCCTAGTTGCTGTAAAAATGTGTTCACAGCTCATCTCTTATAACAAGTAACACAACATATAAAATAAATTGAACACAGATATTATTACCTTCAATTGTTTTCAAGGTTTCTGATGTCACAACCAGGCAAATTCTGGAAAAAAGAAGAAAGGTCATCAAAATACAGACATTACATTTACAGCTGCAGTTTTAAGAATCTGGTGTAGCAGACAGCAGCAAAATTTTAAAACCTATATATATATATATATATATATATATATATATATAAAAATAGTTTAAAAAAATAATAAAATACACCTACACGTCGTGAAAAATTTAAATTGCTACACTTATAGTTAGTGCTACATTGTGTGTGTATGAGAGAAAGCTGCTGTGTACTATGCAAGTGAATGTGTGTTCTCTGATATCATTGCAGTGCATGAAGTGTAAAATATTATATTATGTAGATTATAAAATACATAAATCTTAAATACACCCTTAAAACTACATTCCCTTCAAAGATACAAATAATAATAAGAATGATCTAAACTATCACTGGCCTATACAAGGACATAAATTAGACAGAAACTATTTCTGAAATTTACATCTAATACCTCATGCAAGTTTGCCTCAAAAAGCTCCTTCAAACCCACTAGATTTTTTTTTTAGAAAAATAAAAACAAATTATGCATTTCTTTCAGATGTGAACCAGAGATGCACGTGTAGCACAAAAACAGAGACTGACGAGAAAACGTTTTCCCCCCTCCTTTCACCAACTCTACACGTCCTTTTTCTCTCTCTCTCACACACACACACACACACACACACACACAGCAAGCCTTATGCGAAGATATTATAAATTAATATCTTCACAGGAAGCATCTGACCACATGAATTTTTATCATGGAGAAAAAAAAAAACAAAGTTATCAGACAACTATCAGAGCTGAAAAGGAGACATAGGCAAAACAAACATTTAGAACGACTTTGAGTAGCAGAGCAGGTCAAACAAAATACAGCCTGGTTAGACAACTCAAACTCTATAAATCAAACAATTTCAAAAATATGTTGGGTTATATATTTTTTTCAGGCTTAAATATATTTTTTAAAGTGTTGCTATCAAAGGGATATGAAAAGTTCTTTCAACTCTATAATGTGTGTAGTTGGCCTAGCCTCCATTTTGGTTTTTAATCTCATGCACTAGCAACATTGTAATCCCACAAGATAAATGCACATTACATGCACCATATTACACTATAATTTTAAATTGTGTTATAATTATATAATTTGATTATATACAAAGCAGTACATGAGCACACAGCTCTTTGATAACTTAGAAAGTGGTCATGTGCATATGTGTGTGTGTGCACAAGGACCGTCAGAGCCCCTAAACACATCTGTGTGAGTGAGAGGGGGTGTGAATGAATGTATAACATTTAACCTCTCTCTGCTTGTATTTTACTGAGCTCACATGACCTCAGGGTCAAAGGGTATCACCTTCCACTCCTCCATCAACATCAGCATGTGACACGCTCGCACACTCCGAGAGACTCTGCCTTATGCAGGAAACCCTCCCATGTAATTATTTCGTCAGTTAAATGAACTAAAGAAAATTAAGCAAAATAACGACTTTTATTTCACAAGTATAACTTAAGATCATTGAAATAGGAAGCAAACATTTTTTGAAAAAAATATATTAACAATAAAACGTAAAAAATAAATTAAAACATGCTTAAATTACTTCTGTCATGTGCAAAGAATATACACACTACATTCATGTTTAAATCCTGAAATATAACTAAACTTCTGCACTTGTAGTTATGAAAGCTGTGTATGTGTGTGTGTGCAATCTAAAAAAAAAAAAAAAAAAAAAAAGTGTCTGTGTAAATATTTAGTCAAAGAAAGAATGACAGCAGGCAAGCCTGCACACCTGTACAGCACCGTTGCACCTGAGTACGGCTGAAACTACACAAAGCGATACACACCTGTGCCGTGACTGCAACCTCTCAGTTACACACATGCATTGATCAAAGAAAGCTCTGCAACACTGCAAACAGCTTGTATCCACAACAACGCGCATGTCGCATCCAACCCAAACTTAAACTCTATCATAAGTTAGAGAGATGCTCTAAACAGTCAATATCAGAGCTGTAAGTCTCAGAGTTAGGGCTGGCCTGCATCATACAAAAAAAGACAGCCCTTACATATACACACACTACTTTCCCTATAATCATTAAAAGAGCGTGGGTGAGGTCACAGAGACATTTTGTGTGCCTGGGACCGCACATTTGCTCCTCCACTCCACAATGGGCCAAAACAAGAACACTGAAGTTTCTACTTATTAAAAAAAATAAGTATATAATAAGTATATTTAAAAAAAATAATAATAATCTGTCTAACTTGTCATGTCACCACTATTGCAGAGTTAATAGTCATATTACTGCACCCAATTTGGCAAACTCAGAAAATCTTGGCATGGTGTATGATAAAAATGATCATGGTGTATCCCATAAAATTACCCGCAGCATTAACTGATAAATAAGCCCCATATTAAAACAGAGTGTGTATATTACAGCCTCTGGTCAGGAGATTTGACGTGTAAGACTTAATTTCCTGAAAGTTCACATTTACACTCTCTCACACTCATAAGCACATAAAGCATGACTGACTTAATGTATTCTTGTTTTTTTTCTAACTAGTTGTTTAATTCTGTACACACCACTATTTAACTTCTCTAGTCTGGTGCCTTTTACTTTTAAAAACTCAGTAGAGCTGGCAGCATAAAAAATCAGCTTCTCCCAAAATTCAGCCCTGGACACACCAGAAAAATGTCACAATGTCTTAACATGCAACATATTTTAAGTGCAATTGCCCAAACTAAAATCTTGTCATCTGTATCATCATATTATCGACGTTAAAAAAATAAATAAATGCATAAATACAAAAACAATTGTATCTTTGTATATTACCAAAGTTAGATTACAAGTGTACAGGCACATAAGTATAAAAAAAACCTGTGGGTGGAAAATTGCTAGTTTTTCCCCTAAATTAGCAAAAATAAGTGGATAAAAATAGATGTATATCAACTTGTGTAAAGAGTAATCTGCCTAAAATAACCTGTAAGTTAATTGATTACATATTTTGATGGCAACAGATCATAGGTGCTGTCACTCTTATGCATTAATTTTAACTATGTGTGGGATTAAGTTTTTAAATGTTTCCAACAGTGAACTTCTTTGAAAAAAGAGATAATACAAAGTAATACTGTAATATTATTTATTAGCATAAAAACTTACTGTAGGTCAAATTCCTGAAATATAATTACAATAGTTATGACTAAAATGTGTCTGTACAAAACCAAGCAAAAAAATAAATAAATTTTAGTATCAGCACTGTCACTGAAGCTCTGTGGGGCATTTGAGTGGGTGCATGACGTGTCTGCTGATTAAACTGCAATGTTGCAAACATGCTAAAGTGATCGTTGTGGTTTACTTGTGGGGGTTTCCCTACTGGTCCCAGGCAGGATCAACTCCTGGGGAAAAAAAAACTGCCAAGAAAAAAAACAAAACACCACACAACACTTAGAAACTAATGTAAAAAGACAATTAATATTTGGTATTGACCTATACCAAGTTAACAACATTAATACAAAAACAATAGTGATTTAAATTAAATAAAATAAAAAAACCTGACTAAAATGGGAAATGTCTGCATATTACAGTAAGATTCTTACACTGACCACAGTATTGAAATGTTTTTGGCCAAGTGAATGTGCAATTCTAATGTGCAACATAATAAATTCTGATTGTTCCTCAAATGCAAACTCTCTGTAACAGCAACAGCAACATTTAGACTGACATTTTGTGTCTAGTCATCCTATGCCCCATTCTATGCCTGTTGACATAACGTAAGGTTTCTATCATAGGGTTTAACCTGGTGTATGGTGTAACTTGTCACTTTTTTGTGTGTGAATGGCCATTAAAAAAAAACTCACTCTAAAATAACTCAAACTATGTTATTTAGGCAAAACCAGAGAGCATTTATATTTGTGGGACATGGAACTAAAAAAAAAATTACCCATATTTTTAACATTCTATATTATGCCACATGCATATACAAGTGTACAAAATATTGTAACAAAACAAAAGCTACACAAACAGTGCATAAAACTAAGGTTAGGTTGATGGCTTCTATTTAAAAGGTTCAAAAACTGGATTCTCTGAACTCCCTGTTTGGGTTAAAATGACCCTGGGTCTCTTCTGGGTTAACCTCCATGACATGCACAGGCCTTTACACCAATCAACACAATTAGGAGGTCAAAGCACCATGGTAATGACTTCATGACCTTTCTGCAAGTGACCTCTACATTAGGGAGAACTAAAGTCTCCAAGTGCTACTCTCCTTAAGGTATAGCGGATTTGTTATGGAGTCGAGTTAAAGACAAGAAACAACCAAATCAAATTTACTTTAAGAACAGGCAGAAAAAATACGGCGTTAGTCAAAGAACTGAGGTGCAAACGCTGACAAAAGAGGCCGGCAAAAATCAGCGACTGGCGACCTAAGATCACGCTGAAAGATGAGCTCTCGCTGCAATACATAAAAAGTACATTTTCCACTAACATCTAAAACAATCAATATGACGAATAATCGCACATCACAATCATACAACTAGGCCTTAAATTATCCGACAACGCAACCTGGTTATGCAATTCCAATTTACAGGCCCGCTCGTATAAAAGTATGAATATGTGTCTATAACACAAGAGTGATTTACAAGGCTTAAAAATGCAAGAAAGAGGGGAAAGTAACGGAGTGAAGTTGCGATAGTAGCTCAGTAGATCGACACATTATGATGAGTTTGTTCGATCGAGAGATGATCCTGTTCTACAAACTAACCGAACTCTCCTTCATTTCCATCTTCAACTCCCGTCCACTTTTTATTTGTCAAACAGTTCGTGCTTTTTTCACAGATGGAATGTGTTTGCTTATTTAGTACATTTACCATTCACACACACACGACATAAATCTTTATTCTCGTGGTTACTAAACAATAACACATTTTATGTAAAATATTACACTTACCTAAAACACCTGAACATTCGTAATATTGGTAAATCCACAAAAAAAAATAAAGTTTGCAGTCGAATATTCTGACGGTGCACAGATTAGATACAGTTCGTGCAACAACAAAAAAACTGAAAAAATAAAAAGCACTCTGGTCATCGTTGTTTTCTCGCAGCCAACTCCCGTCCACTTTTTATTTGTCAAACAGTTCGTGCTTTTTTCACAGATGGAATGTGTTTGCTTATTTAATACATTTACCATTCACACACACAACATAAATCTTTATTCTCGTGGTTACTAAACAATAACACATTTTATGTAAAATATTACACTTACCTAAAACACCTGAACATTCGTAATATTGGTAAATCCACAAAAAAAAATAAAGTTTGCAGTCGAATATTCTGACGGTGCACAGATTAGATACAGTTCGTGCAACAACAAAAAAACTGAAAAAATAAAAAGCACTCTGGTCATCGTTGTTTTCTCGCAGAAAGAGGAACAGAAACTGTAGTAAAGAACAGTACAGTGTTGGTCGTTGTGGCGTCCCGGTGTATCGCTCGCTGATAGGCTGACGGGCTCGCCGGCTGTCTCGCGCACATCACCAATCCCGCTCAAACTTAACGTTTAAAAAATGCACAAAACCACCACGCTCCACCAAACAACCCACACCAATCTATTCGTCGTCGCCTGCAATAATTTTCCGAATTTTTTTAAGAATTTTCAAGTCATCCGCGTATTTGTTAGATTTTTTCGAAAAATAATACAAAAATATATCGTTTCCACAGCGCGGCTCCAATTGGACGCCCCTTCTCGGCTGGAGATGCTAGCCGGATTAGCCTCCTAGCTCACTTCAGTCTCCACTTCACTATTTGTTGTCACTACACATCGTCTTTATGAACGCGACGTTCATCCTCCGGGAAACAGTCGCCTCAAATTTGTGGTCGAATTCAGAAAAAAATTATCTCTTTGTTCTCTGGTAACAAAAAGAAAAAAAGTGTCCCCTCACTCAAATGACTGGACTACAGTACGGAGCCTCTCTAGGCAGCTGTTGTTGCTGTAGCTGCTCACTCGAAAATGGCGCCGAAAGCTCGAGTCTTCATTCAAATTGGCCGGAGCCTCCCCCTGCCCGCATTGGGCATGCCGGGACCTAGAGCACCGCGCAGGATTGGTCGAGACAAAATGCACCCTCAAACCGGCTAGCAACCCAGAGCCCACGCACAATATCCATACACGGTTTAACTGTAAGAAATAGCGATTGTTACCATTGCAATCGCCTTCACACCACTGAGAGTTTCAGGCGAACGTACGTGGTTATATACAGTATATAGCTTAAGGATTTCAGTAGCTTATAAAAAGATACATTTCAGCGCTAAAACTGAGGTTGATTTAACGCTACAATGAACATGAAAATGAATCTTCTGCTGGAGTAACTGTTATCTGCTTTTCTGGTGCTATAGTGAGCGTGTCACAAAGCGAGCGAGCTTTATCATTTAACTTCATTGGTGAATTTAAGAGGGAACAAAAGAGGGTATTAGCGGTCATGATTACTTTCTCTATGACCGATTTTAAAGGTGCGTGTGCAGTTACTCGAAACAGATGAATACATTAAAAGAACGGAACGTCAGTCGATGTTTTCCGTGAAGACGAGGCAAACGGCCACACGGCAAGAGGAGCTTGACAACAACAGAGCTTGCGCTTTACTACGACAGACAGAGATAGAGAGAGAGACAGACAGACAGACAGACAGACAGACAGAGAGAGAGAGACAGACAGACAGACAGACAGAGAGACAAGACAGAGAGAGAGAGACAGACAGACAGACAGACAGAGAGAGAGAGAGAGACAGACAGACAGACAGACAGATAGAGAGAGAGAGAGAGACAGACAGACAGACAGAGAGAGAGAGAGAGAGACAGACAGACAGACAGAGATAGAGAGAGAGAAAGACAGACAGAGAGAGAGAGAGAGAGATACAGACAGACAGAGAGAGAGAGAGAGACAGACAGACAGAGAGACAGACAGAGAGAGAGCAACTGCGAGCTGCGTCACTCACACCACCGGCAGCGTGAAGGTTGATTGGGAGAAGAAAGAAACTGCTCCATTTGTCAAATCCGCCCCTTTCTGATTACTGCCGACTGCATCATTCGGATAATGACTTTCAAAATTTGGCACCGCTTTGTGGCTATTTGATCAGCAACCCCTGATGATTCGTTTAGGAGTATCTGGTGGCTATGTGACTAAATTGCTTTCTAAACCTCAGCCCTATTTTGCAGGCATTAGCTGCAACTGTACAAACCAAGACAAAGGCTATCTAGTGTTTTTGCTAAAGAAAACATGATGCCTTTATTCTACAGTCATAAACTGCCCACCTTTTAGTTATAATAATTGGGTGGCATCATTGCATCATGCATATTTCTTATTTTTAGACACTCCCACATAAACTCATATGACACTGCTGGCATAAATAAGCATGAAATATCTTGGCTGTTTCTACACAGGTCAACACCACAAAATTTGTATTTAAGTGGAATGTGGTGTAAATGGATGTCCACATGGGGAAAGGGAACGGACTCATTTTATTTGAAGATAGAGAACAGGAAGAGTGCATGTAGTAAAATAACACAACCTGTTCTATACTTATCCGCCATGGATGACTAGAATGCTACAACTCTGCACTAAATATGTGTACACCTAATGAACTTCTTTTAAAGTGAAAACCTTTATGGAAAATATTATGCATACTCCTTTGCATGTCACTTGTAAGTTTAACTTGATCAGAACATTTCTGGATCTAGACTTTAATGCTGGATATACTGAACTTGACTGGCCATTATTATTGCTCTGATCGATTTAACATTTAGCCATGTCATATAGCCTAACAAATCCCTTGTTTTAGCTAAGTCTATTGAAAAAGAGTTTTGTTGCGCGTACACAAATTTAGGCCATCCATGTTAGTTCAAACTCAAGGCCACTTCGAACTGCAACAAAACCATACTGTATAAGATGAAGCATGTCATAAGATACTATAAACTGTATTATTTTCCTCCCACCATCACAGTAGGTGACTAAACATCTGAACAGTATCAACAACCACAACATTCAAATTATCATCAGTCACACAGTTAAGACTCAGTCTTCTCCTTTCTTTTCATTCGTTCACCTCTAGACTTATTAATGAAATCACTTAGTATTCTATTCATTAAAATCATGTCATCTTTTCTCCTTCCCCACAATTGTTAAAGCGATCAACTTTACATTTATTAACCACTACAGATCATTCATTAACCTTTCATTGTAAAGAAATATAATATTATTTTCTCTATGCTTTTAAAATGCTGAAAGAACATTCTTCGTGTTTTGATCCGTGACAGTTTTTGTATATTTCATCAGCGGGGAAAGTAATAACAAAGCGCACTGCAGGCAAGTCCAGACAATCGCGTCACGGATGTCCCGCCCCTCAAAGCCAGTCCTCCGATGATGTCACTCTTGCCGAAGCAACCGTGGCACGCCATTGGCGCAGAGCTCTGTCAGTCTTGCAACGTCACGAAGCTAGTGTTATTATTGTAAACAGGGTGCTTACTTTCCACGGGCTCTCGGGTCCCGAGCCTTTGCTACGCGCTTCTTTGTTCACTGCATGAGAAGATCAACACGACAAAAGACTACTCACGAAAACTCGTTGTACACGTTATGGACTTCCTGTAATTATTTATGAACAACGCAAACAAAAACTGAGTAGTTTAATACGGTTCTAAACCAAACCTGTTAGCAATAACACGACGTATCTCGAAGACAGCCGGTAACTTATGCATAGCAATTGTTGCTGAACTTTTGACAAGCAGCGCGGTTTTTTTTAGATTTCATACAGTGTCGTTCAATTTACAACTTCCTCGATTCACGTAACGCTATAATTGAACAACTTTTTAGAACATTAATAACATGATGTGAAGACCGCGATCCAGTTAAGAGTCAAAAACTTTTCAACAACAGTTCGACGCCGATAGTCCGAGGTCGAGTGTTGCCTCTCCTGTTGTTTCAACAAAAACACATTCCAGTTTCCTCATTTATTCTTGGTCTACCACAGGAAGTCTAATACCTCACAAAATGCTCAAAAACTAAAACAGTTATGCCCATTTACACTGCGAAGAGATCAGCAGCTACCTCAAAGTCAATATGAATGGCACTTACCCAAAGCGCTGGGGGGAAAATTGAGGATGTGTATGAAGATATCATTTGACTCTAGGGAGGTGTTCTAATAAATACCTTTCCTGGCACGCTTGCATGTTAATTTCAGTTCGCATAACAGTTCCAGCTTATTTACTGCCGTTTCACAAGGTATCGAGGAAGTTCTTTTGTTCCAGTATTTATGCACAGCGTCAAAGTTGCGCGTTGAGGAGGCGGAGCGGTAGTGCTGCGCGAGAGGGGGAAAAAAAACCAAGCGCCAGCGCTCGACCTTAGATACTCAAGACTCAAACCCTACGACCCACACTGGATCAGATTAGGTCACGTGCTACAGAGCAGCGACCGAGTCGGGTGTCATAACTGCACACAACACTGATCTCGACGACATAAGACCGGAGCTCCACAGCATGGCGCGCGAACCAGGCTTTACCGTCAGCTTACGCGAGAGATGCCAAGTGCTTTACTATGATCCGCTCAAGTGCACGTTCACAGATGACTCATCTTATATATTGCTAAGTCTAATATGCGAGTCCAATGCGAGATATTTTGTTTAAATTATGATAGAGGTAAGAAACTTTCATCGTGAACAGATCCGAGATTTTCTTCAAACTGATACGTGATAACAAAAAATCACAAGCTAATAAAGAAAAAAAAATCGTGAACAGATCCGAGATTTTCTTCAAACTGATACGTGATAACAAAAAATCACAAGCTAGCATTGTTTGAAGTTGCTCTAAATGTCTTTTTTTCTCTTTCTTTCTTTCTTTCTTTGCAATACACCTGCATAAGCATATTTGAGAGTATATTTGTGTTTTATGAAAAAAAAAAAGTATAAAGAAAGAACTGACTGTGATTTGAAACAGCTGGCTTCTGATATTGGCTGCTGTTTAGCATTGTTTGAAGTTGCTCTAAATGTCTTTTTTTCTCTTTCTTTCTTTCTTTCTTTGCAATACACCTGCATAAGCATATTTGAGAGTATATTTGTGTTTTATGAAAAAAAAAAAAAAGTATAAAGAAAGAACTGACTGTGATTTGAAACAGCTGGCTTCTGATATTGGCTGCTGTTTGGTGTGTTCAACTGCATTAGAGTAACTAAAGCCTGTCAAATATCATCATATGCTAAACCTCACTTGGGTTAGGATGCATGGCACGAATGTTAAACAGTAAGCACAGCTGCTTAAGCACATGTGTTTCCTGTTTCAACGATTTTCAACAACTTATAATGGTATAAAAAGTTTAACATTATTCATATTAAGGTTTACACGTTTTTTTGCACTAAGGCAAATAAGCACTTTTCACTTTTGAGTATTTTTATTTTCCAATTTTCATAACCTTTATGTGCAAAACAGTGAAAGTTAGGTGTATGAGTAATCCAGCTGCTAGTTAATTAACAAGGGATTCGTAGGCTACAATTGATTTATGCTAAATGTTGCCTACAATATGAATATTTTATTTGAATAGTTTTATTTTGGATGGCACGTGGCGTTTAGGAAGTTAATTTGAAAGTGGGGCTATTTATAACAGGGAAAAACACTGCCTGTTGACACAGCTGAGGTGAGGTTTTCAGCATTTTCCAACCTTCCTCTACTCACTCTCAAATGTGCAAATACAGGCGAACGATTATCACTACGTGGCTGTAGGTGATTTTAGAATTAAGTCAAATATATAAACAGGAATCCAGCAAAATAGCCTATAATCTAATCAAATTAAAATGATCTAAGCAATTTAGGGCAATACAATTCATATTTGTGCCGTTTTACCAGTGAAACAGTCAGATATTTGCCTGTTTTCGTTAAGATTAGCATTCTCTTAGTGATAAATCAAATCATCTTGATTAATTCCAAACACAACCAATCAATCTGCTGGTATTTTACAACGACTTGATACGTTAGTAAATAGGAACCATTGCAAAAGAGAAGTTTAAAGCAATAATATGGCCGTTCTGCTAAATAAAAATCCATAACCCTCGGATTTCAAGCTGCTGCAGAACAAATGAAAATGTAGAGTAACGAATTCACTCTTTCGACTAATGAATTCATTAACTAAACACGCTGCCTGTTCGAATGACTAACGAAATTCGTAAGCTTTCATTTTCTGTTGTGGTTTCCAAATGTGAAAATCAACAATTCTCACAAATAGTTTCCGTGTATGAAAACACATAAATTCATCATCACATCCATATAGTAATGCTGCTTATTTAAAAAAGCAGATTATGTGATTTAAATAGACTATGCAGAAACATTATATACAGTCTTCAGTGCACACCTTATTTTACTAAGACTTTGTAATTATGACAAATGTTTAAGTATGCATTATTAATTTCAAACTTGAGGGTTAGTATACTTTTTAAGCCCACCTTAATCTCCATGATATTCTGTTTTCTTAAAAAAAAAATCTAATGTAATTTGATAGTTTTTGTTTTCCTTCCGCCCTTCACGTTCAGATTCGGCACTGGACACAGGCAGGTCTGAAGAGGGTGATCCGTCCTTCATCAAACTAAAGAATCCTGCTACAGGTGTTACTATACCAATTTAATTAACTGCAACTGACAGTTTAGTTAGATGTGATGCACAACTGTATTTAGTGGTGATGTCTATCAGAGGTCTATCTAAATAAAGTGCAACTGACTAACAGTTCTGCCCTTATTAATGAGTGCAGGAAGTTCTTCACTGTACCTGTTTGGTTGTGGCGATTGCAGTGTTTATGAAGTAAAAGCCTTTTCTGAAGACTTTCGGTCTTGGTTTATTGGACAGACATTGCAAAGAGGTAAGCTTTCCTTACAGAACATGAACTATCCATTTGACGTGTGATTATGGATCATTGATTTTGATGCTCCGTTTTATTAATCATCTAGTAATTTGCTTATGAGGTGAACTAATTGTTCACTTTTGTTTCTGTGTCCTTAGATGGTAGACTGCTGTATGCGACTTCCGTTGATCCTTTATTTCTGCTGTTGCCATACATTAGCAGTACCGCCACTGAGGTAAACGACTAATGCAAATATTATAATAAAAGACATTTACATGAGCTTCATCTGTAATGATGGCACTCTTCCTATAGGGAAAGTTCCAGCCGGTGGAGCAGATGGTGATGGATGAGGATTACCCTGAATGCACAAGACTTCTGCTTTGCAAACAGGGAATGGATTCCCTTCATCATGTGGCAGATGAGAAAGGTGTGTATTTGAGTTTGTAGGAACGTATAGAGCCGAATTCGTTACAGATACAGTGTGATGTCCAAATTTTGTGTCCAATATATAAAAATTGAATCCTCTTTTTCAGAGGTGGGTGGTTTAAAGTTTCACAGATATAACCAGGAGAAGACCTTGGAGTGGCTCAAGAAAAAGGTTTATAAAATGTGTAACCTGTATAAGAATCATCAATTATTTCAATAATGTGTGTTTTTAAAAGGTTAGTTCACCCAAAAATGAAAATTAGGCTGCGTTTTACGTACCCTCGAAGCATCCTAGGTGTATATGACTTTCTTCTTTCAGACGAATCCAGTCGGAGTCATATTAAAAATTGTCTTTGATCTTTCAAGCTGTTTAATGCCACTCAGTGGGTGTTGCATGCATCCGTCCAAAAGAACTTAAATAAAAATCGCCCATCCATTAAAAAAAAAGTCTCACATGGCTCCGGGGGGGTGAACAAAGGCCTTCTGTAGCAAATCGATGCGTTTTTGTAAGAAAAATATCCATATTCAAAACGTAATAATCACTTTAATGTAGCTTGTGCCAAAAGTTGTACACCGAAGCAGTTCCGGGCTGATGACGTATGAGTTCTGCGTCGCACATGCGCCGGTGAGTCTCGTGAAAACCAACGTTTGTTTACAGGATCAAAGGAAGCAAAGTTTCCTTACTTTAGCAAAGGAAAACCAGTCTCCTTTTGGCTTATATCGAAATCCTCTGACATTCTTCTTTACAAATCCTCGTTTTGTACTTCTAATTCTTGACCGTTGTTTTGTTTTGATCTCTCCGCTGCGTATACGCGTGCGTCACTTCTGAGCGGTGCATGCACAAAGCCGACCTCATACGTAATTCCCCCGGAACTGCTTCTGTTTACAACAGTGAGCGCAAGCTAGATTCAAGTGATTATTACGTTTTGAATATGGATATTTTTCTTGCAAAAATGCATTGATTCGCTACAGAAGGCCTTTGTTCACCCCCGGAGCCGTGTGAGACACTTTTTTTTGTTTTTATGGATCGGCGATTTTTATTTCACTTCTTTTGGACTGAAGCAATGCAACACCCACTGAGGGGCATTAAACAGCTTGAAAGATCAAAGACAATTGTTAATATAACTCCGACTGGATTCGTCTGAAAGAAGAAAGTCATATACACCTAGGATG